TAGCTAGCCTTATTCAAGCTTCTGGTCGGGCCAGACGAGACCAACAGGGTGGCAAATGCGTTATCCTCTATTCTAAGAAGGATGTTTGCACAAATTATGTTATTATTACGAATGATAGGGAGAGGTATTATTATTATTTTAATATATGTTTTCGTTGAATAATTTTAATATATGGCTTCGTGAAATAATTTTCAAATATATTCAAATTTTAGGGATGAAAATGATAATGAGAAGACTATTGCTCGAGAACTTTACCTGGCTGAAGCATGACACAAGCTATTTGAAGTAATGCACTATTGTATGACTTCATATGAATGTAGATTTCGGCTAATATCACGATATCATCAATGGCCAGAGGATCCAATTCCGGATATTTGTAATTCTTGTGATAATTGTATCAAGCATGAAGGAGATAATGCAAATCAAGTGGATGTGAAATCAGAAATTTTAGAATTGTTAAAGGTGGTAACATTATTGTGCAAAAATAATGATAAACCAATAATACCCTTAGATGTAATGGAAGTTTTTTGTTGTCTAGATAACGCACGACTTCAGAGTAGAAAGTTAATAACAGATTCTGATAACCGCGTAAAACAAAAATGGTTACGCACAAAGCATTAGTAGAATTAGTTTTAGCGGATCTTGTTTGTCGTGGTTTGATCAAACAGACAATTTTGCTTGAACGAAAGACTAATAAGACTCATCTGACTTCTAGTATAATAGTAGAAGATGTAGTGGATAATGCGGATTCACTGGTGCAAAATAGAACATGGTCATATTGGGCAAAACCTTCGTAATTTCTTCGATCTAAATAGTATTTTAATTACTTTTTTACTTCTTATTGATATTTAATGTATACACATACCTACATTTTCAAATAAAAATCAGATAGTTTCAAAATTACTGTCTTTTCTATGAATTGTATGTTTTCCTAATTTCTACGTTATGTTCTAATATACAAACCGTCATGTACCGTAATACTTTACCATTCATTCGAATTTAAAGACATTCCCTAATGCTAAAAAAATTAAAAAATTACAGTAAAACCACTATAAGTGCATTCCACTTGGGACTAAGTGAAAAAAAAACGTGAACTTAAAAAGAGTGTGGACTTATAGAAAACAAAATATTTATAGTGCTCTTATGAGTTGGGCCTGCGTTTTGAGAGAATTACATAGAGCGTGCACTGTATTACTACAAATTTCATGGAAGATTCTAGATTGCATATCATGTATTCGATTTCTATTGCATTACACAAAAATTATGTACCACGGGTTACATATAAAATTGATCTACAGACACCCTACCCTTAAAATTTCCAAATGAGAGTGTTGAAAAAGCTTGTTTTGTTGTTTCTCACTGTTTTGTTATAGATAACTTCGTCAACAGAGGTTTCTCACTCTACCAAAATTTCATATACAAGGGCACCACCTCTTGCCAGTTATCTTGTATAATGACGCTTTCGGTTTGCATATTGAATATATAGAGGAGTCCCTGCAATAGCAGAAACAGTTGACCTCTACAAAAACCATATTCTATGTTATCCTACTGCACCTTAGTATAGGCAACGCTCCAACAAAACTATTTTTCTTTAGCGGAAAAATTGGTCCAAGTAATTGTCAGAAAGAGTGAATAGTATAAATTGAATGGTGATTTTCATCCTATTTTATTCGAAAATTAAAATAATATGGATTTGATGATTTTGCTTTTTGTAGATCTAATATTGATGCAAAATATACAAACGCCACATCTCTCTGATTGCCATTTCTGTTTACTTTGAAGTTGCTAAGTTGGCGAAGTAATATTGTCTCACATACATTATGTGGCACTCCTCTTAATATAAGTTTAAATTCATTTCTAAGCCCCAATTCTTTTTTGTTAAATCTGCCACTTGTTGTTCTTACTGTTTTTCCCATTTCATAATGCATTGCCCAAGTATTTGTAAAAAGGTGTTTTTTTTCCTTATTTGTATATCTAACTCTAATATGAGCAGCTTTATGTTTTACTGAAATACGCTACTCAATATTTTCTACAGACTCATATGGTTTTAAACATCCTTTTATATTTCTTGCTGTTGCCAATGTGAGTAAGTCCCATATAGTTAGATTCACTTCCTTGTGAAGGGCCTTTTTTTTGTTGTTTTTAAAGTTTTCTTCTGATATAATCTCCTGTTTAAAACTATTTTTATGTGTCTATATAGATTTATATATATCTTTACTTCTATCTGATGCAACTGGGCCAGGGTGTAGTCTATTTTTTCTGCAGCACGTGACATAGATCAGTGATAATTCATGATTTTGTCACATTTTTGTATACCATTTTTAAAACTTTGAGCGAAGGTATCTCGATAACCACCAAGCCAGATTCGATAAGCTTTTTTTTATTTGAATTTTACAGATTCACAGAATTTGAATAAAAAAAGCTCATCAAATTTGGCTTGGTGGTTATCGAGATACCTTCGCTCAAAGTCGTAAAAAATCTCAAACCGTCAATCAAAATAGAAGCTGCGCCAAAATTCTTTCAAACTTTGAGCAAAGGTATCTTGATAACCACCAAGCCAGATTTGATAAGCTTTTTTTTATTCGAATTCTACAGATTCACAAAATTCGAATAAAAAAAAGCTCATTGAATCTGGCTTGGTGGTTATCGAGTTATCTGCTCTCAAAGTTTGGAAGAATTTCAGCATAGCTTCTATTTAGATTGATGGTTTGAGATTTTTTAAGACTTTGAGCAAAGGTATCTCGATAACCACCAAGCCAGATTCGATGAGCATTTTTTTGTTCGAATTCTGTGAACCTGTAGAATTCGAATAAAAAAATGCTTATCAAATCTGGCTTGGTGGTTATCAAGATACCTTCGCTTAAATTTTGAAAGAATTTCGGTGCAGCTTCTATTTAGATTGACATTTTGAGATTTTTTAAGACTTTGAGCGAAGGTATCTTGATAACCACCAAGCCAGATTCGATAAGCTTTTTTTTATTCGAATTCTGTGAACCTGTAGAATTCAAATAAAAAAATGCTCATCGAATTTGGCTTGGTGGTTATCGAGATACCTTTGCTCAAATTTTGGAAGAATTTCAGCGCAGCTTCTATTTAGATTGACGTTTTGAGATTTTTTAAAACTTTGAGCGAAGGTATCTCAATAACCACCAAGCCAGATTCGATGAGCTTTTTTTTATTCGAATTCTGTGAACCTGTAGAATTCGAATAAAAAAAAGCCTATCGAATCCGGCTTGGTAGTTATCGAGATATCTTCACTCAAATTTTGAAAGAATTTCGGCGCAGCTTCTATTTAGATTATATTTTAAGATTTTTTAAGACTTTGAGCGAAGGTATCTCGATAACCATCAAGCCAGATTCGATAAGCTTTTTTTTATTCGAATTCTGTGAACCTGTAAAATTCGAATAAAAAAATTCTTATCGAATCTGGCTTGGTGGTTATCGAGATACCTTTGCTCAAATTTTGGAAGAATTTCGGCACAGCTTCTATTTAGATTGACATTTTGAGATTTTTTAAGACTTTGAGCGAAGATATCTCAATAACCACCAAGCCAGATTCGATGAGCTTTTTTTTATTCGAATTCTGCAAATCTGTAGAATTCAAATAAAAAAAGCTTATCGAATATGGCTTGGTGGTTATTGAGATACCTTTGCTCAAATTTTGAAAGAATTTTGGTGCAGCTTCTATTTAGATTAATATTTTGAGATTTTTTAAGACTTTGAGCGAAGGTATCTCGATAACTACCAAGCCAGATTCGATGAGCTTTTTTTATTCGAATTCTGTGAACCTGTAGAATTCGAATAAAAAAAGCTTATCGAATCTAGCTTAGTGGTTATTGAGATACCTTCGCTCAAATTTTGAAAGAATTTCGGCGCAGCTTCTATTTAGATTACCGTTTTGAGATTTTTTAAGACTTTGAGAGAAGGTATCTTGATAACCACCAAGCCAAATTCAATGAGCTTTTTTTTATTCGAATTCTGTGAATCTGTAGAATTCGAATAAAAAAATGTTTATCGAATCTGGTTTGTGGTTATTGAGATACTTTCGTTCAAAGTTTGAAAGAATTTCAGCGCAGCTTCTATTTTGATTGATGGTTTGAGATTTTAAAACTTTGAGCAAAGGTATCTCGATAACCACCAAGCCAAATTTTGATGAACTTTTTTTTTTTTATTTGAATTCATAGAATTTAGATTAAAAAAAGTTCATTGAATTTGGCTTGGTGGTTATCAAGATACTTTCACTCAAAGCTTAGAAAAATTTGTCTAATTTTCTTTTATGAAATTGTTCTTGAAAGCCTTGTACATATTTAATTAAGAGCTTTCTCAAGTACCTCAATCGGTTGGGCAAAATTTATTGAAAATGTGTTGGAAATTAATTTTAACTAACAGAAGGTATTTTTAATAATTAAAATAAATAAATCACAGAATATCCGATTCATTAAAGAAAAATTTTAACAAATTATTCTCTTCTATTTTTTTTTTTTTTGCACTAGTTTATCGATTTGTATTTCAAAGCATGTATAAATAATGGCTAATGGCTGAATATCCAATTTTGATTATCCTAAAAAAGATTATTAGTTAATGCAAATGTATTTAGAGTTTCTATATAAGTATATAGAACTTACATATTAATGGCCGAAAGTTATACTAAAAGCAGCTATCGAATACTTATTGCTCTATTTAACTTAATCTTGATATCCTAAAATAGAAAATTCTAATCAATACAATATATGCACATTTTCAAATAAGACTTTAAACTTAGTATGTATATGTATATATACATATATACGTATATACGTATTTTACAGCCGAAATAATTGTCTGTCAAAGATCCGATAGAAAAGAGAAAAGGCCAAAACTGCCTGTAAAATATTATAGAGAAGAATAAAAATATATTTAAACAGCGCTTTTTTTATCTTGAATTTTTATCAGAATTCAAATTTATAATAAATTATTTAAACAAATACATTTCATGATCTAAATATTATTTTTTTGTCAAAATGGTTAAATGTAACTCTTGCAATAACAACCTTCAATCAGAAGCTTTCCTAAAAACTTATAAAACATGTGCAGCATGCCTTATTTCTAGAGCAGAAAAAAGAATCGCAAAAAAAAATTTGGATAATAGCACTGCTACAACTACTACTATAGAATCAATTGCACTACAAACTTTTAGTGATTATGTAGCTAAATTGATTTCTAATACCGAAAATAATAATGAAATTTCAGTTGAAACACATTTGGATCTCCATGATGATATTTTTTCAATAGCGACATTTGATGATCCTAAAACAATAGTAAGAATAATTATTGACAAAATCGAAGAAGGAGATGGTTATGCCTGGACTGCTACAATATTACCTAATGTATCAACTCAATTTGATAATGTTGTTACATATTATTTTGCATGTTTTCAATGTCATGAATTGGAGCGAGAATATAAAGAATCAAACCGAAAAGGAATCACAAGATTTGACTATCACGGCAAATTAATTATTCATATTGATGTTCCTGCAATAGAAGCAACAATAAAACTTTGTCATGATATTCTTCATGATGAACCAGAAGATAATACAGTACCAGAAGAAGTTAAACAAACGATTCAAGCAAACCTTCATTTGAACCCAGTACAAATTCGAACTATTCTTCATAGTAGATTTGATATTCTAAATATTACTGCAAAACAAATTCATTATTGGTGGTCAGTATTTACACAAAATTTATATAAAATAGACAAAGATCACGTTATTTTAGCATTTAATTTTCTTCAAACCAATAATGCTGGATACAAGCTTTGTTTCAAATTGATAACAGATAGAGTAATTGCAATTGGCTTCATAACTCCTCTGTTTAAAAATATCTCATCTGCATCAGAAGTTCATTGTGATGCAACTTATAAAACTGCCAAAGGTCAATTTGAACTATATAGTCTTATTGGTAATATCGACGGTGCAGGATTTCCATTAGCTTATTTAATTTTAAGCACTATAAAAGCTCAAAAAAAAGAATCACAGGATTACTTACGAACAAATACTTTTGCTGGTTTTTTTAATTCTATTCAAAGCCATGGGTTAAATACTGTTTATTTTTATACTGACAAAGATTTTGCTGAAATAAATGCAGCAAAAGAGGCATAGCCAAATGCACATATACACCTATGTTAATGGCATATTGAGTGTGCAATAATGAAAAAGTTAAGAAGCCGCAAAAGAATACAACATACCAAATATCAATTTGAAGAAGCTACTACTGAGTTCAACTTTATTAATCCCAATTTCAAGCCAGATTTAACACGTACTAAGCCAGAATATTATATCGTATGTCCAGAAAACCTATGAAAAGATATCATAAACCTTGTTAAAAAACATTTTAATATGCATTCAAAAATTCCAATAAATGCTAATAGTTAATTATTAATAACACCTACAGAAATTTGAGAAAATGCAGTACATGAATTATATGAATTGTGTAAAAAATAAACTTGTAATATTATGGGCATACTTGTGGTCTTCATAGTATAAAATGTTACGATGGTGTCTTTGGACACGTTCAACCCATACTACAGTACTAATCGGAAAAACAAATATGATGGTCGAATCACATTGGAGAGTACTTAAGCATTGTTATCTTAATCGCTTTAATTGACCACGATTAGACTATCTTGTATGGGTTATTTGTTCTCGTGCTCTACCTAACCAAATAGATCGTTTTCAACAAATACATCTTGGTCGAGTTACACCAAAATGGTTTGATGAATTCAAAAAAAGCTAGAATCAACTTGCTACAAAATCTATTACTGATGATGTAAATAAACGTTATTGTATTGATTTGACTTGTTGGGTATGTAGTTGACCTTCATTTTTTCTCAGCCGATTTCTTATTTGCAAGCATCTAGTTTATTATACAATCGAGAAAGCAATGCTACAAAATTCAGAAATTAGACTTATATATAAGAATTTTAAACGATGAACAAATTATCTGTTTCTTATTTGGGATAGTAGTAAGTCAAATAATATATCACTTATCTCAGATTTTAGTTCGCAAGCACAATCTAGTATAGCTTTTAGTGCTGATGGAGATAGTGAAATGGTTGACCCCGAGATTTATCAGCAATGTAAATCCAAAGTGGCTGAATTAGGGTATCTAACGAGCCATCTAATAATATAAAACATGTTAAAAATGTAATTGAAAATATGAGTCGAACATTCACTATTATTAATGATATAAAATCATCACAACATAATTCAAAACATAGTAAGACCTGGAAAGCAAAGCCGTGAACCATATTTTTGTAAAATTATTTGTTTTTTTTTAATTCATAAAATTAAGGGTTTTGAATTACTATGTTTCTTATATTTTTTTTTTAGTTTAATTTATTATTCTTTTTCAACTCGCTATTTTATTGTCTTTACGAAAAAAATAAATATAGATAGATAGTTTGGGTTTAACCTGGCATTTTAGAAATATAGCTATTTGTTCTATTTGATTTTTTAATTTGTACTTTAGATTATCGAATATGGATTACCTTAAAAAAAAAACTTGATCGATCTATTTTAATAAAAAAAATGCGATTTAATATCTAATAAAAGTCTTTGATATGAAAAAACTTGATAAAGAAGGATTTTACAAGTTAGAAATCGAAAATTTTATTATAGTAATAAAGGGTTTTTGATAGAAGAAATCAGGAAGAGTATGATCAAGAGTCTTACAAAGATTTTTAAATGATTTTAAATGATTTTTAAATGATTATCACTGATTATATCAGTACGAAAAAAGTATTATGCCTGGCCCCGATAACACAAAGCCAAATTCGATAAAATTTTTTTATTCAAATTCTACAGATTCATAGAATTTGAATAAAAAAAAGCTTATCAAATTTTGCTTGGTGGTTATTGAGATACCTTTGCTCAAAGTCTTAAAAACTTAAAATCATCAGCAAAAAAAATAGACCGATATATATCGATTACTAGCCGGGTAATTATATATCGATACCAATCACCCCTGCTGATTACACACGATCGTGATAGTAATCGATATATAGCGAATTCGTTTACTAGCGGTAATACTAAATATCGCTATATAT